ATCTGGGCTACTTATGGTACGGTCAAACTGTTAAATACTTGTCTGACAAGCAAGCCAAATGTTCTCTTGTAAAAATAAGGTGGACACAGTCCTTGACCATTATGAAATTTGTCAGGAAATTGACTAGGTTAGCAGCAAAGTTCCAGGTTTATTTGATATGTGTACATGTACCAGGAGTCAACAATACTGCAACTGATGCATTGTCTCGTTTTAATTTTCTAGGCTTCTTTTAAAGCACACCCAACAGCCTCAAGAAATGCAACAGAAAACCCAAACATTCACCAATTAGTTATGAATAAAATAGCCTTCTTAATCATAGGAGAAATCTAGCGCAAGTGGCACTTTGAGAAAATACTATTCGGTCATACAAAACAGCATTCAAAATGTTTCAAAGATTTTCTGAAGAGCTTCATATCCATTGGAATCTCATTCTCAATGGAATCTTTAATAAAATGTATAGCTATTTGCCACCTTAGATCAAAACTTTCACACAACACAATCAAAATGTACTGTACTAGGATACATCACATGTTGATATTATACCCAAATAAACATGCTTTCATGTTATAATATTAAATTAAAAACATACTAAAATGTCTAGTCAAACACCTAAGTGACTCTCTAAAAAAAGTGATATATTTTGTTCAATATCTGATTTACTTGACTCCTTTTGAGTCTCATACTAACCTAGCAATATATTTTGCATTCTATAGATTCCTTAGACCAAGATAATTTACTAGGGAAAACTCTACTAAAACAGAGCAGTGTTTAAAGTTGACTATTTAATAAAACATTTAGACCAAGCATGTCAAACTCAAAGTCTAGCAAGGGCCAAATACACAAGGTTGAAGTTTATGTGGGCCGCAAAAAAAAACAAAAACAAAAAAACCCTTGAATTTTCATTGAAACATAGGTTAATTTTGAAAAGTACAGTATAAAAAACAGCACACCTTCTACTAAATCCCAGCCCCCCATGTATTAAATACCAGTCCCCCTGTCTACTTAATCCCAGCACCTCCCTCTAGCAAACAAGCAGACTCCACTCACATTGTCGCTGCCAGTATGCGACCGGCCTCTGGTATACCCCAAATGGCACCATCCGCACCCTGTGCCAAAGCAGATCCTCCCACTACTTCTTGAAACCCTGTGAAGGTGAAGCACGTCAACATCACGTCAGAATGTGACGTGGTGTTGCATGCCTCCGTGCACCTCCAGGTACTTGTCTGTACAGCCACAGCCATTGCAACACTGTCCGACACACACTCACTGACACACACACACTGACCGAGACATACACAGACACACTCACTGAAACACACGCTGACAGACACAGAAACACACACACACACACAGACACACACACACTCACTGACATACATACACACACTGACAAACACACACTCACAACATACACCCACTCACTGACATACACACACTGACCAGAATTTGGCGTATGGTAGCTCGGTGACGTGTATGGTATACCTTTTTAACCTCTAAGTACTTTGTCCTGGAACCCAAAGAATCCATAGGTGGGGATTATACCACCCAGGCGTTTACACCGAGCAGTATAGGCCTGCTCTATAGAATGTAAGTAATCTACTTTACATCCTTTCGTTTAACTGTATACAGAGAGCACTATATTCTTATTCTCTCATTTTGGGTTGAACAATATTTACTCGAACGCTGAATCTGGGCCAGAAACTCTCCAATCAAACACTACTTTACATATCCTTGAGTGGGGATTATTCCACTTCACGCGCTTAATATCAGAGCTAGGATCTAGCTCTGAAGAGTGTGAGTACGGCTAATTTTACAACTTTAGAATTTTATTCTCGCTGATATACTATACCATTGGAGTTCCTGTTTTTGTTTCCCTTTCATATATTCTTCACTGGATTCGAGTACACCATTGTGAAGATTCCACTCCATTTGACGTCTCAGGATTTCCTGTTTCCTCAAAAGAACTCACCATTACGGACTCTTGATAAGTGTTTTGGACTATTGTTTATTACCATCTTATATTTATCATTACCATTTTATATTTACTTTTATTATCTCATCTTATTTTATACTGTGTATATGTTTTATTATACATTTTAGGCGCACTCTTATCCTTTTTTCTAAGCAATACCAAATGCCTAAGCAGTGCCAAAACCGGAGGAGATGCAGTTGTGGACCTATTGATCACATGGACCACACCCATGTCCTGGAACTCCGCACCCCAGAGTTTGACAGCCACCAGTATCGGAAAGAGTTCCAAAAACGTTAATTTAACCACTAGCGCACTAGCATGCCATGCGAGAGGCCATGCCTCTGTGCACCACTGCCCTTGAAAGTAAGCACCAAACCCAACAGAACCTGAGGCATCAGTGAATAATAGGCATGTGCATGGAAAAAAATTTAGATTCAGTTCGGCATTAAAAAAGCCTTGCCCCATCCTGCAATTAGGCTCAGAGCACTCTGATTGGTGGGTTTAAGCCATCCAATCAGAGTGCTCTGACAGGTAAATGAAGAGACTGACAGGTAAGTCTCTACATTTACCTGTCACAGCACTCTGATTGGTTGGCTTGAAATCCACCAATCAGAGTGCTCTGTGTCATTTTACACAATGTGGGAAAGTTCTTTGGAATTTTCCCATGCTGTGTAATTTGACTCATAACACTCTGATTGGTTACTTAATCCATCTACGTTTGTATACTTTTTATTTAAAAATGTATACAGTGTAACATTCTTCATTCTTCCACTGTGTAAGTATATTAGTACTTAGGCAATACTGTGCTTCGGAACTTCGGCACTTCGGCACCTTGACACTTCGGAACTTCAGCACTTCGGATCTTCGGAAATTCAGTAATTTCGGAACTTCTGGACCTCGACAATTCGGCACTTCAGCAATTCGGCACTTCGGCTATTTGGACATTCGTAAGTACCCGAATGTCCGAATTTCCCGAAATTCGTCTGAATTCATATTCAGACCGAAACGAATTGCACATGTCTAATGAATAAGTCCAGGTCACTGTTAGAAACAGCAGACTGCAACCAACAGGAATGACCATTGTACTGACCCAGAAACAAACTTAATACCTGGAGATCCTCTTGGTGACTACTCGAAATCTGTATGAAGTAAAATGGCTGCCTCACTCCAACAGTGGCCAGCGAGAGCCGTCGACTGAACACCTGTCCCATAAACAGAACCCAACACGTATAGTTCAAATGGCCCAACAAAACCTGCAATTGCACTTTCTTGGCCCCTTTCACAGAATCAACCAGGCGCAATAACTGCGCTAGCTTGTCATCTGGAAGGAGAAACACTGTATCCCTAAAATCAATTTCAATCCCGAGATAGGACAACACCATAGAAGCCACAGGCACTCTGTTGTCTCTCGCTGAAAAGAATCCAAAAGGACCCTGCAGGATTCTGACTCCCCTGGACACACAAAATAAAAATTAAGATAATGGGTCAAAGATAACAGACCCGACACTTGAGATACCACCCATTCCAAGAATTTTGCAAACATTTCAAAATATGAACAAGATATGGCACAGTCTATAGGCAAGAACATATAACAAAAATAGGAACCGCGAAACATACAATCCAACAGGTGAAAACAATCCAGATATACCAGGACCTGGCAGAAAGCAGATTCAATGTCCGACTTTGCCAGGTGCGCACCTGCCCCTTCCTCCCTTACCAGATCCAGATCCCTATCAAAAGAAGCATAACGAACATGAGACACCTCTTTGTCAATGTCATCGTTCACCGCCATATAGGACAGGTGGTGAATGAGACAAAAGGCTCCAGGTACCTTCTTGGGCACTGAGCCCAAAGGGGAGACCCTCAAGTTAGAGAACAGGATGGAATCAAAGGGGCCAACCATCTGCCCCGCACGTAATTCCTTCTCCAACTTGTCAGTCAAAACATCCTCCTTACCCCCAACCGACCGCAAATTATCTGCAAATGACGGAGACCCAGAATAAACAACCAGGATCCAAAAACCTAAGGAAAACCCATCCAACAAAACCTGAGCCTATCTCCACTTAGGATACCGGTCTTACCACGGGCGCATCCTTACCATGCTCACCGGTGTCCTCCGATCGAGATACGTCGTCTTTAGCAGGTTGCGTTCCCGATTTTTCATTTTTGAAGCAGTACAATGCTGGATGTGTCCCTCTACAGTGCGCACACACGTGACAAAACCTACAGGAGCTGTACAACCTGCAGTGGCTCTCATTGAAGAGTCAACACACTCCCTTGCATTGGCCTTCTGATGCACCTGAATGGGCGCCGGCAGTCGTAGGAAAGGGGGCTGGGCGACAGGGGGTCATCAAGAACAGCCAGAGGCTGCCGTCCTCAATCCCAAAGTCCATCCCCTGAACAGTCACCATCTTCTGTTGAAATGGCTGGTCATATCCAAACCAGCATTGAACCCCATAAACCTTATAAGCCCCCCAAATCAAATCAAGATACCCAAACAAGGCTGGAGCCTTCTCCGGATACCTCCCAGACAAAATGCTCTGGTGAACCCCTGCAACCAATTACCGAATGTCCGCAGAAGCTGCTTACCTTTATCTGCCTCCACCTCCTCCCCACGTTGCGGTCAGTTAACCGGTTCCTGATCCGGCGGGACCAGCGATAACAAATCTACATATTCCCGGCACAGAATCTTCTCCCTAAATTCCACCGCCACATGTACCCCCAGAGGTGCCAGCTCACACTCCAGCAAGCAGGGCCCAGGCCACCCGTAGGGGCCCAAGAAATCCCTCCCTGTAACTCAAAAGGGGACTGCGCTAGCACCCACAGGTAACCTATCTAGCACCGCCCTCACCATGCTCACCACTTCTCCCTGCCCTAACGCCTGCAAGTCCCTGCCCTGCGTACCCTCATAACCCCCTGGAACCAGCAAGCACTTCCCAGGTGCTAGCGAAACACTCACCAGCAGACGAGGGCTCATCCTCCTCCGATCCAGTAGGTGACTCTCGCTCTGCCGGTGACCCGGGGTGGCATGCTGGGCCCGCGGTCTGCCTGCTGTTCCGACCTTCTGCCATCCTCCTGGTTTCCGAATCCGGCAAGGTCTGTGATGGCTGCACGCTCTTGCGTGGCAGCATCACGTACGCGCCTTGCGTGACTTCGGTGGTGATGTCACTTCCAGCACCGCTGGACAAGAAGCTTGTGGGCTGCGCGGTTTTCTGGCCATGCTCTCCGAACCTACGCTGCCATCTTGACCGCCATCTTAGGCCTGGGACCGCTCCACTACTCTCCTCTCCTTCTCTTCGTATCTTCACCCAGTGTGAAAGGACCCAGCACCGTTCCGCTTTGCTCACCTTCAGGGGACGACTCCTTCTTCGGCCTCCCTGTCAAACGGAACTCGGTGAAAGCCTGGAGAGAGGCCTGGACCTACTCGCAGCCTCCTCCCGCCTGCCGTCATGTTGCAATCGTCTGCCGGCCCAGGAGTCCCCCTGGAGGTTTCTGGCACTCTGTACACCAGCCTCTCAACAGAACCCTGGCCATGAGAATCCTGGTAAGCCTGGAGGAACCTTACCAGATCATCCTGTGATAAAGGATCCATAATGGGAAGATGGTATCAAAATAGGTGGTATCAGTATCTTACAATAACTTTATTTTTATTTATTTTTTGCTACTACCAGGCTCAGTCAAGCAAAAATCAGTTAGGGTCCCTACATTTCTCCTGCTGACTGGTAATCAGGGCCGATCCTGGGGTCACTGATGCCTAGGTGCAAGAATATTTTTGGTGCCCACCAGTAGGTGTGGCAAAATTGCTAACCCCGCCACTTTACAAACATAACACTTCTAACCACACCCAAATTCTATGGAAACCACACACCCTTAACCCAGGTCACATGTCACCCACTTCCTAAAGTGACAGCTATGCCCCCCAAAAGCTTATTAGTGCCATATTTGTGCTTCTCAGTGACGCCTCTGTCCACATACAGCTTCCCAGTTGCATCTTTGTTTCAAAATAGCTCATCAGGGCCATCTCTCTGTCCCAATATAGATAATTAGTGCAAACTTAGTTTCAAAATATTTTTATCCCTATCTTATCAGTGCCACTTTTGTGTCCAAATAGCCATTTTTGTGCTGAAATCGCTGACCAGTGTCATTGTTGTCCCAAAATTGCTAATCAGTTACCTTTCTTTTCCTCAGAGAGTTTGTCAGCTGGTAGTGTTTTTGTATGAACTGTGTGTAAGCTTGGTGTATTTTGCAGAGAGTCAATGTATTTGTAATACCGAAAAGTATTTACAGATGTGTGTGAATTCAAATGAATATATGTGTATAATATTAATGTGTGCAGATGCAGTTTTAAATATTTGTATGAAATGTGTTAGTAAGTGCAATAATGTATTTGTAAGACATGCGCTTGTGTGTGTATGTTTGTATGTATGAGTGTCCTTCACTGCACGTTACTGTGTGTGCATGCATTGTTGTTTTCAGTGGTATGCTTCTTTATTTTTCTGAATGTCCCTGTGTGAGTTATCTTACCGTTCTCTTCCACTTTTGGCTCTATCCCATCCCCAGGAGCTTTGCTATGTGGACTAGGGACTTCAACCCAAAAAATACATTTGATAGCCCCTCCTTTAGTTGATGTTACAAACTGCCATTTGTAACTGTCCCTTTAAATTACAAATTGCCCTGCTTCCCGGGGTTGTGGAGAAGACTATTTGCCAGCCTCCTTCCTCATGACTATGGCCCCTGGGAGAGTGTGCCCCTGAAAACTTATGGACTTTTGTTGGGTGTGTATGGCCCTTTAAGAACTGTCTGGGGACATATTGTGACTTTGGTGAACAATGCCCCTTTAAGACTATGTCCCCAGACCTGTAAAATAAATTGTTCCTGGCTATTTCCCACTAAATGGGGCTTACTGAACCAAGTACCACACAGGCGGACCACCCAGAAGTGGAAGTGTGCAGGCAATTTACCTCCCAGGCTGGAGGTCACAAACCGGAACCGGAAGTAAATAGTGTCAGGATGAACCCAGCGTTAACAGTCCAGTGAGAGGGGTGGCCCATGTTTTTATACCCGGGTAAACCCTCCCACAATTACAGGCTACACCTTTCTTTATAAATATATTTTTATATATATATATATATATATATATATATAAGGGTTCCTCCTAATGCAAGATAATGCTAGACCTCATGTGGCTGGAGTGTGTCAGCAGTTCCTGCAAGGCGAAGGCATTGATGCTATGTTATGGCCCACCCGTTCCCCAGACCTGAATCCAATTGAGCACATCTGGGACAGCATGTCTCGCTCCATCCACCAACATCACGTTGCACCACAGACTGTCCAGAAGTTGGCAGATGCTTTAGTTCAGGTCTGGGAGGAGATCCCTCAGGAGACCATCCGCCACCTCATCAGGAGCATGCACAGGCGTTGTAGGCACGTGGAGGCCACACACACTACTGAGCCTCATTTTGACTTGTTTTAAGGACATTACATCAAAGTTGGATCAGCCTGTAGTGTGTTTTTTGAGTGTGACTCCAAATCCAGACCTCCATGGGTTGAAAAATTTGATTTCCATTTTTTAATTGTTGTGTGATTTTGTTGTCAGCACATTCAACTAAGTAAAGAACAAAGTATTTCAGAAGAATATTTAATTCATTTAGATCTAGGATGTGTTATTTGTGTTATTTTTTTGAGCACTGTATGTTATATATATATATATATATACACACATGCATATATATATATATATATATATATATATACACACACACACACATATATATATATATATATATACACACACATATATACATACACACACACAATACAGCAAAATGTATGATATGTCAATGTAACAACCAATATATCATTACTTCAAAATTGAGAAGTATTAAAAATTAGCAAATTTGCATTAGTTTTCTAAACGGCAATTGTAGAGAGTGGATATGAAATGTCTAAGTGTGCTGAATATTTTATTCTGTCAAAAAAAATGATATATCAGAATAGAATACTTTCTGGTATACATGATTTTATCCAGTAATAAAAAATTACAGACATTAGACATTGGTTGAAAGTACATCTATTTTATAGCCTGCAATTTACAGAATTAGGGGAACATTCTATTTTGAAAACCGTCATAACTTTAATTGTTGATACAAGGTTTCTTTTTATTTCTATATTTATTTGTATGAGTAAGAAAGAAAATACTGCTTTTACTAATATAGAATTTTCTATAGGCAAAAAATATAGTCATTTTAGCCACCACACTGAAATGCTGTAGCCCCTACGAATGTCTCCTGCTTCAAGAGACTTTTGTTGTTATAGAAAAGAAAACAAATATGTGGATCCTTAAATGCCTATGCTATTCACACCAACAATCGGGAAAAATATTTATGATAAAAAACCTTCAGATAACTAAAGTAGTGCTTTGTGTTTGAAAACCATCTATCCTTGTAAATCATAAATGTTGTATTTTTCTAATTTCAAATGTTCTTTTATAAAAACTCTTCATGACCAAACAACACAGCTAAAGGCTTAAAATAATGGGAACGTTTAACACTTACTGCATGTGGGGGAACTAACAGCTGTAACAATTTTCAAACATTAGTGAAAAAAAAAGTATTTTATTCCATATTTCCTACATTTATTGCAAACTTTTGAATACCAAAGGTTTTAAGCTCAATTCAAAGGTGTCTGAACTATTTTTAGCAACAAAAAAAAAAAAAAGAAAAAAAAGAGGACTTGTGTTTTAGTACTAGGTTTGAACACAACTGATTTTAAAGTATGTTGATTCTAATAAATAGATTTCCAGTGATGGGGAAAAAGTCTCAAAGGGATAAAACTTTTCAAAGCAAATAATCCAAAGTACAGTCGTGGTGCTCCAGACCTAGCTAGGTAGAACTTAAAACTCATGTGATGATTGACCAGAAGTGTGGAGAAAATCCATTGTTTATATTCTACTAGTAGTTCTGTTTTCCCCTTGTGTTTTTAACTCCTCCATCTTACTTCTTTGCCCTACTCCGCCCTGTAAGAAAAGAAATTTGGAAGTTGTTGGTGCAAGATGTACAGATAACCAAGCTCAACAACCATGAGGCAGCACAGGCGGCCACCTTAGGTCGCTCCATCCCAAAGGGTGCAGGATCCATTTGACCAGCAGCAAGGGAGCATACAACAATCCTAATTCAGCCAGCCAGCCATGGCTGAGCCACAGACTGAGGTATAAGCTCATCTAAACCCTCTCCCCGGTCTGATAGGGAAGTGATCACATAGAATGCAGCTTCCTGTCAGACTGGGGAGAGGATACTAATGGGCACTTATATCCAGTAGTGTGCTATATGTATTATTGTGATGGTGGTTAAGGTGCCACTCAGCTGATGCTTCAGTCCCAGACAGGAGCAGCCATCCAGGAAACTTCCTGGTGGGCACCCCAAGGAGATCAGCAATCTAGGTAAATGCCTTTTTTTGCCAAATGGTAGTGCAGGATCTATGTATAGTGGCCAAGGAATAAAAATATCCCCATCAAAGCTGAACATTTGCAAAACTAGACAACCCAGTATATGCATAGTGGGGTATATCCAGTCTTTTTTTTAATTTTACTCATATTTGTGTTTCACAATGTTTCTTGAGTACAACAATATGCTCCATGTACAGGTGTTATGATGTTTTGGACACTTACAGGGTCAAATATAGGGCTTTCCCCCTTTTCAATTATTACACATTAAAATTTGCCAGATTGCTTTGCTTGGTCTATGTTGACTTTGTGTGATAAAAGCCCAAAAATTAGAATTACTCCCATCATTGATTACCATTTGCAAAAGTATGGCACTCTCACCGATGATTTCATCATCCTTGTATATTTTACTGCTCTAAAACACTCATATTTGTGTTCAGCAATGTCTCAACAGTCGGTCCCATATACCGACTTTATGCATTTTTGGAAAGTTACAGGGCAAAACATGGGTAATGACCATATCAGTCTTCATATCTGGAAATTTGACTATTTGATTTTCTTGGCCTATGTTGCCTTTGAGACAGTATGGCAGTCTGGCTGATAACATTTTCACCATTATCGCACACGTATTTAAAGGTAGGAAACCTAGAGTATGCCAAAAGGCATAATTTGAGTTGTTGGATCTAGCCACTTTATTACAAATGCAGACCCAATTTGGTGGTTATACCTTTATTTGTGTTTTTGTTTTCACACACATATATCCCATTTTCACAGAACATTTCATAATCTTGATGTGACTTAGTGCAATAAAGCATCAATATTTTTTTAAACATTGTATCATAAATATAACATGCACTAGTTTTTTTTTGAGAAATCACACAGCCAATATATTTGATGCCCTTTTCAATTCGGAAATTTGACAAAGTGATTTTCTGGGCCTATGTCACTTTTTTGAGGCAGTGTAGCAGCCCAGGAAAGAATATTACCTCCATGATGGCATATCATTTTAACAAGTATTTTAAATGTAGAATTTGGATTTGTTTTGTGTAGCCACTTTATAATGGCTGGGCTTAACGTAAACAGGGATAGGCAAAGGTCAGAGGGATCCAGGAGTCAGAGTAGTCGGTATAACAAGTCAA